AAACTCCTCTTCTGGATTTGCTCTCGGAGCCCGAGGCACACTCTTTTAAATTTCTTCAGTGATAACACATCTTTGCCCTTTCTGGGTTGGATTTGATTTGGGGAGACAGCTCCTGGGAGCGACATCCAGTGACTAAGGTGGGTGACTGAGCTAGATTAAAGTTGGAGCCCAAACCAGCCAAGTTGTGAATAGAAGGCAGTAACACTGGTTTTCTTTTGTAGCTTATTAAATTGTGTCTGAAGGATCTTGTCAGAAAGTTCTAGAAATGCTTTGACTAGAGTCTGCAATGTTGGAAAAGTGCACCAGCTACAAGGGGGATGGTCATTGGGCTTCATGAGCTGTGCTTTGACAGATGAAAAGAAAAAGTTGGGCCTTAACTTTAGAGCCGCAGCTTGAATGACGCCTTTGGGCGGGCGCTACCATCTTCTGCAACAAGAGCTGCATTGTTACGAATTACAGCTCTGTAATCAAATGAGCCAGGATGTAAATGTTTGCTGGGTAAACGTAGTGACACAGGCAAACAAAATGGCAGCTGAGAGCCCCGACAACCTAACATTCACTGAAACAGAAGGCGCTGTGTGATGTTACGTCAAAACAGTTAAAGAGAAAATAGATGATGAGAACGGCAGTGGGGGAGATGGTGTTTTTCTGGTCATGGCTAGAAGAGGAAGCCAGAAGATATTTGAAACGATAGTCTCATCTGGTTGGGGAGGCTACTGTTCATAATGAATTAAGATGAAATGCATCAGGAGGAAATCAGTCATGCGATTGCTCGCCGGTGGCATTTCTAAGATATCTGAACATTTAGGATTGTAAAGGCTACTTTATGTGAATGTGTTTTTTTTTTTACACTGATGTATTATATATCAGGATTAAGCGCTTTCTTTTGTGAAGAGCTAACATTTTACAATGCCTCCTAGCGTGCAAATCCTCAACCCCGAGGGCATGCACATTTGGCTTGATACAGCTGCTCATCACTTAGTGGGGAGGGGGGCAGGCACCATTACAGTCGGACTAATGCTCTGGGTTTGAAGCTCAAAGCCTTCAGACAAGGCTTTAGTACGTTTTTTCCATCTTCAGGACCCATGGACATATTTTATTCCATTAGTTAGCATGTCACAAATGAGGGTCTGTGTAAACATGAAGAGCTACCCACTAAATCTAAATTAGTCCAGTTAACAAGCTGATAGTCAGAAAGGAGGCATCTGACTCACCCAGGGCAGAACTAGCTTAGTAAATGACTGATATGGCAAGGTTTGCAAGAGTCACTATTCATTACGGTTACCGTTTTATTAAGAGTTCCCTCTGGTATAAAGGGCAGAGCGTCTGTGTAATGAGCAGGGTACCACGTATGCATAGGTTCAGGTACACAGACAGTTGTCATATTATTTAAAAATCCTCAGTAAGGAAGGTCCTTGTTTTTAGGAGGCTGTTAAAGAGAAAATGAGCTGTTCTTCCGCTGTGTCAGAGGACATTGCAAACAAAGGTGTTTTGAGAAAGCAAGTCTCTCTTCAGGGGATTGTGTTTGCTCTGGGAATCTCAGAGGAGGGACCCTGGTCAGAGAGAAACAGACCCAGGGCCTCGGGGCTCGGGCTGCCTCTCCCTCCCCACAGTGAGCTCTCTCCCCTGGGAGGCAGTGGTGGGAAGAGCCAGGACAGATGGACAGGGTGAGTCTTTGCTTTTCATAGGCTATAGAGTTTTATTTAACCAGTTGAAGTCTCTTTGGTTTAAAATAGACTTAAAAATGTTTACCTTCTGGGCAGGTGGCTCAGTTGGTTGGAGCGTCATCCCATACACCAAAAGGTGGTGGGTTCGATTTCCCGTCAGGGCACATTCCTAGGTTGTGGGTTTGATTCCTGATCGGTGCTAATGGGAGGCAACTGATCGATGTTTCTCTCACATAGATGTTTCTCTCTCTCTCCCTCTTCCTCTCTCTCTCTCTCTCTCTCTTCATCTCTCTCTAAAAATCAATAAAAAACATATCCTCAGGTAAGGATTAATGAAAAACAATGTTTACCACATAGGGCTATTGTGAAGATCAGCTGAGAGAGTCAATCTATCATTTAGCAAATGGTTGTTGAGTGACTATTTAGTGCCTGAGACGCACCAGTGAGCAAGGCCAGGCCCTGGGCCTTGAGGTCCTCCCAGTCAGACCGTTAGGTGAGCACTCACAGGGGCTGTGGGAGCCGTCGGGGAGGGTGGTGGTCAAGGAAGGCTTCCGGGAATATGGCTACCACAAGGTCTGGTTCCTGCTGGGAACTCCATACCTGAAGTTTCCTTCCTTCCTTCCTTCCCAGCACCCTGAATTCCTCAGGCTTCTCCCCACCTTTGTCCCAGGCTGGACTGTGCAGCATCAGAACGGGCGCACCGAGACGTTTTGGTTTGTGTGCGTGTGTGTGTCTGCAAGCCTGTCGTGTGTACACTTACTTAAAGTCATTGGCTTCTTCCCCTCACCATGACTCCTGTCTGTTAAGTGAACAAGGGGGGGGGGGGGGCAAAAGGAGAGATTGCCATGAAAGGAAGAAAGGTGGGTAGCTAGCTGTCCCTAACCCTCTCCCACCTCCACCAAGAAAAGACTCTCTGAGCTCAAATTACATGTGAAGAGAACTTTCTCACATCAGGAGCAGGAGGAGGCACAAAGCCTGACTATATGAGAACATCTAAAAGTACAGTTATGTGCACGAGAGGGCAAGTCCATCGGAAGAGGACGGGTGGTCCTCGGGGAGCCAAGGGGAGACTTGCAGGCCGACGGGGCACTGCCCTCCCCAGCACCATCCGGATGGGTGGGAGTGCTTGGGCCTGCGATCACACGCCACCTGTCCTGACCCCTGACCCGGGCATGTGCAGGACCTTCTGTGGAGGGGGCGTGTAAGGCCCCAGGCCCTGAACCTGTGAGCCACGCTGGTGGAGCCTCTCCCTTTGATTCTGCTGGAGGGGGAGGGGCTGTGCACGCAGGCAAGGCCCTGGCCCCACTCCTCTGCATTCTCACATGAGAAAGCCCTGGATCTCTTGCTGGAAGTACAATCAACTTTGAACTCTTTGCCGCCGCACATCTTTCAGAAGCTCCGATGAGAAAACTCCTTTATCCTGGAATTTCTGAAGCATGTGCGAACTCACTCTTCATCTCGGCATTACATTGGCACATCAAAGCCACATCCTGGGATGGGACGCTGTGTTCATCCCCAGGCACACCCTCCCCTGCGCGCTCCCTGGAATTGCTCTAAGTCGACTCCTTCGTGAGATGAAATCTGCCTACACGGAGGGAGAATATAAGGAACCACCTCCCAAGACTGGGCACCCGCTGTGTTTAGTCTAAGGATGGGTGTCCCATCAGTTGTGATGTCCTCTCTATGAGATTCCGGCGCCAAGTTTCTCTTTAGTCTCAGCACCGGGAAGCCAGGAAGAGCCCACCGCCCCCTGGCACTCAGTGTTTTATGTGGTGGTGTTTGCCGCTCCATGCCCATTGCTTAAAAGCTCAGGAACGGCACGGCTTGTATTTTCTGTATCGACCTTGCTCTTGGTTTTAGCTTAATTTTTTGTCTTTATTTCTTTGGGCTTTATCTTTGCATTTCTTTTTTAAATTTTTGTTTTATTTTACCAAAGTGTATGTATTTGTATTAGCTGCCTTAAATCTCTTGATGATCAAAACTGGAGGTAAATAAAGTATCCGCCAGCACGGTGTTCTGCTTGCCTTAAATATCATGACGGTGAGCTGGCTTTTCAAGGAGAATTTTCTAGAAAAAGATAAGGTGCTCGTCAGAAGCCTCAAAGATCTCACCTGGCAGACTGAGTTCTTCCTGCACATTAACAAGTTGAGACTTGGGCTCGTGTAAGAGTCTCTTATGGGCTTAGTAATTGTGTGTCCATCTCTGAGAATGCTCAGCTTGCGCCATTTATTCCTGCCACCGCTACATGCCAGACACACTCATCCTCTTTCACTCCTTTGAACAACCCAAGCTCTTTCCTACCTCAGGGCCTTTGCACATGCTGTTGCCTCTGCTTGGACTGTCTTGCCTTCTACTCTCCCTAGGCTCCTCTTCCTCATCATCAGAGGGTAGCAACATATTAGAATGATTGGGGGAGTTTGTATTGATGTCTAGGCACTAACCCAGGCAAACTAAAATCTCACGGGTAAGAGTTGGGGGGCGGGGTAGGTATTGGTATTTTTAAAGCTCCTCAGATGATTTTAACTTTTAGCTGGGGCTGAGAGTCATAGCTTTAGGTCTCTGCTTAATTGTCCGTTGCTCCAAGAGGCCTTCCTTGACCATCTCTAGGATGTAGATTTAGTCTTGCTCTCTAGCTCAGCTTCTCTGATTCTGTTGTACTAGTTACTACAATGTATAATTACTGTGTTAATTTGAATGCTTTTGTTTATCTTCCCGCTCTAGGACATAGGGACTGTGAGGACAGGGAATATGTCTGTCTTGGTCTTTGTGCTTTTCTTCAGAGCACAGTGTCAGGCACATAGAAGGGTGAATGCATGGCAGGGCTACTTAAGCTCTTGCTATGACTGAGTCTGTCCACTCTGCCCCAAGTTATTATTTGGTAGTTATTAATAAAGCAAAGCAAACCAAACCATCCACCTACTGCTTTCCCTCCACGGCATGTTCATCAAGCTGATTGTGAGTTCTAAGGTGCTTTTTGCTAAGCTTAAATGAACCACGACCAGTCAGAGGAGTGGACTTTTTTTTTTCTTCTTTTTTCTGCTTTATTTCACTTCCTTAAGGAATCATCTCGGTGTTTCACTCTTCCTTTCCTGCTGTATGTGGGCGATGTGCTGGTGGGAAATGGAGGGACAGGGCAGAAAAAATGGTCCCGGGAGGGTTGACAAATGAAACACGAATCCAGCCATGCGGCAAGGGTCTTATTCTGCCTCTGATCTGGGGAAGTTTTCGTATTGTCATGGAGAAAAACGCACGTGCACACACCCTGAAACCCACACGCATGCACCCCTTCTTCGGAGAAGCCGGTTACAGGAAACTGACTCGGGCACAGGAACTTGCTAACCTCTTTTGTCACATTCGGACGGCTCCTGCCGCTCAGTCACCACGCACACTCCACCCAGCATCTTGGGTTGGAAGGTTTACCAGCCCGACGCTGGCATTTTTAGTTCTTCCAGTGCGAATCAGCTGTAGTCTTGGGGAGGAAGGAAAGGCTGATCTCAGAAGGAAATCCTAACAGGGAAAGGGCCTGGCTGCTTTTGTTTTTCCTTACCTGCACCCAACAACGTTGACTTCCGGAGTCAGTCATTTTGGTGTCAAGAAATCCTACAACAGGTAAGACTTTTGCTTCTTTAAAAATATCCCTTTGGTGTCAAAAGAAATCTTTCTAATTTTATTTAGCTTTTACTCTAAGCTAAACACAGTGATTACCCTGTTCTACCTGATGTAAAATATGGAATGACATGGGAGAAGGGCGCGTTGCTTTGATAGACAACTACCCCTGCCCCCCACCCAAGTCCTAACAAGATGCATATAGTTTTTGAAACATTAAATATTATAAAAGCTGGCTTTTGGTAATGGGATAGTTTAGTATAGTGTCAGATGGGTACTAGCCTTATTGGGATGATGACTTCATTAGTTATATAATGTCTATATTGTATGCCTGAAACTAATATAATATTGTATGCCAACTGTAATTGAAAAATGAAAAAGGGTAGTTTAAATACCAACCTACGTTTGATGAAATAAATCTGAAGATTTCCTAAATTGTGCAAATACGAGTTTTAAAATTTTCTAATTCAGAAAAGAACCAGAACCAAAATCCCAGTGATGTAGATTTGGATCTAGAATTCCAGGCTTTTTGTTTCATGTACTGCCAATGCTGAGGTCCTCTTTCTAAAAATCGTACATGATATATAAGTATATATTTTTAAATTAAATTAATTTTTTTGAGGTGGTTTGATTTGGAGACATGCTGTGAAGTGCCCATCAGTAGCCTGGGTTGTAAATAAATAAAGTTTGGAAAATCACTAGTTTTAGGTGCTTTATTAAATTAAAACTGCCATCAAAGTAAACAACAAGTAGTCGATAATCCATTATAAATTCTAAGCTGGGGTTGTGGAGGATGTACGAGGAATATAAAGAATTTCTATATTCTTTATATTTGAAGGACCTTATTATTCACTAGCAGTGTAAGAAGTAAAATTCAGGAAGAGTATGAGATGGGAATTAAGTGATGAATGGGATGGCATAGGCTGTAAGAGTTCTGAGAAGGGGATTTGAAAGTGGACTGGTCTGGAAGATATGGGCCTTGGAAAGACATAAGATTTGAGTGGAAGGAGAAGAAGGTTAGTTCACACTGGGGGGACTGTGTAGGCAAAGTCTAGAAAGTGAGGCTGACGAGCAAATGACCAGTCTAGCTGAGGAGACTGGCCCGAGAAAGGCAGAGAGTCTGTTTCACGCATTGGCAGGAAAGAAGCTTGGAAAATTAATGTGTAGGCAGGTTCTGGGGAACCTTAAGAGGCTGTTGAGAAGAACAGACTCCATTCAGTAGTTTTCTTCTCATGTCCTTAGGCTTCTCTTCTGGGCTTTCTCAGCTCTGACAATTCGGAGCAAGAGGAAGCCTGGAGATGCTTGCCTCTTCACCCTCGGGACTAATTCATGCACCGGTGGTCCCCACTGGTCCTCTACTGTCTTCCTTTAGTACGCCATTTATGTGGAGAAAGGGTGGTGTGGCTTGGGGTACTTGTAAGACCTCCGTTTCTGGTTACTACCTTTTAAGAGACCCTTCAAATCAGCTGGTAATTAAAGTAGCCTTCCTCTTGGGAGGACACACGGGTTGGCTGATTACAAGCAAATCTCTATTCTTCAAAAGCCAGTTCAAAAATTCCATGAAATATGTAATTTTCTTTGCATGTCTGAATGAGACTTCCTGCTGCTCTTTTCCTAATGATTTGGAGCACTTTTCCCCCTGGACTATGAGATACCCGTGTCCACATAGTAACAAAAATACAGTATGGTGAATAAGAACTCAGACTTTAGAGCCAGATTGCGTTGTGTTGAAGCCTGGTGCTGTTGCTTCGGAGCTATGGGAAACTCGGACTCATTAACTTCTTCAATCCTCAGATTAAAAACATCTGTAAAGTAGTTGTAATAATAATAACTTAAAGTACCTACTTCAGAGGGTTGTTTAGGGATAAAATAAAAATATGTAAAGAATTTAGCCTAGTGCCTGGCATAAAATTAACTCTCAATAAATGTAGCTAGTATGATTCTTATTAAGACTTGACTGGTGACACTAGAATGATGTGGCCCCTAGCCTGGGAATAAGATACATGGGGTGGATGGGCAGAGGCTGGGAATTAACATTTTTTGAGCACCAGGTATGGCCCAGTGACGGGTGGGGAACCTTTTTTCTGCCAAAGGCCATTTGGATATTTATAACAACATTCACGGGCCATACAAAATTCTCAACTTAACAAGTAGCCTGCTATATTTGGTCAAACATTTAATTAACTCACCCCTAATGCTATGGCAGGGCCAGACCAAATGATTTTGAGGGCCTTATCTAGCCCTCAGGCCAGACATTCCCCACCCCTGGTTCATAGGGATATGGAAAAGAGAAAGGATTAGAAACTGACATTTTAAGCCTTTCCATACCAGATCCTCAGACTATAACCCGACCCTCTGAGTGACTGCATGTTATTTCAGGCATCTGTGGCTGCTGCGTCTCTCCGAATACACTGGGTGGAATCACACAGGTGCTTGGAATAGAGAGGCACAGAGGACTCTTCTACCTGGGCCAGCTTAAGTTAAATTATTTAATTTTATTGTATGTTAATTTTTATGCTAGCAAGGCATAGCTAAAAATCCATTTCTATTCAAGAGTTGGGACCGCTTTGCAATAAGCGCCCAAGATGCTCATTTAGGTTCTCGATGCTTGGGGTCTGGGTGAAAGCCAAGATTAAGAAGCACCCTGCTTTCCCGTTCCACTTTCCAGATTAGGGATTGATTTGGGTTAGTAAGCCCCCTTTAAAAATGCAAATATGGCCTGTCTGTTCATTATGCAGGAGATTCTCAATTATACGTGCGTATTACTTTCGTTCAATAGTAATATCGTTTTCCTTCCAGAGCCCCACTGATAACATAAGAAAGGGAAGTTTGGGGCTTTGAGTGTGGGAAGAGGCGGACCCGAGTCAGGATGGTGCCAAAGTGGAGTATGCTGGAAGGCAGTATGGCAGTACTAGGTGCTGGGGTGGGCAGTGAGAGATGAACGGTGAATAGAATGTGTGTGTGTGTGTGTGTGTGTGTGTGTGTGTGTGTGTGTGTGTGTGTGTTGGGGTGGGGAATGCCAGAAAAAAGGCTCCTCCAAGCTCTTTAATCATTTGACTCTCGCAGCTGCTTGAATACCCTGAACAACTTGTTGATGCTTTGTGTAAGAAGATATCATTCTGTCCTCCTGATGTGGACAGCTGTTCAGAGACTATTTGGTTTGTCTGGTTCTGGCCCAGAAAAGTCATTCCTAAAACCTCTTGGGGAGCTTTTAAAAAACAGCAATTCTCATGTATCACAACCGGCCCGGGAGTGGGGTCCAGGAATCCGAGTGATAACAAATACAAACCCTTTCTCCCAGGTGACTAGGAGGCGGCTGTTCCACACACAGATGAGCAGTTGGGAGCCGTTAACCCAGAACTCTCCTACCAGGGCCCAAGCTCCAAGATGGTAAGTTGAGTAAGTGCCGAGATTCGGCAAAATGATCTTCCCTCTGTTGTGACTAATACAAAAGTATTTTCCTTTGTTTTGAATTGGTTTCTTAGGAAAGTTCCTGGGTGTGGGATGACTGAGCCAAGGGTATGAGCATGTGTAAAGTTTTTGTCAGCCACATTTACATTTTAGCACACATAGGCAGGGAGCACTTACGAAATTCTAAAGTGTTCACTAGTTTCACACATACATGAAATCGTACGGTACTTGTCTTTCTCTGACTGGCTTATTTCACTTAGCATAATATTCTCCAGGTCCATCCATGCTGTCCCAAAAGGTCAGATTTCCTTTTTTTTTTACGGCCAAGTAGTATTCCATTGTGTAAATGTACCACAGGTTTTTTATCCACTCATCTACTAATGGGCACTTGGGCTGCTTCCAGTACCCCTGAAATCTACATAATTTTATTAACCAATGTCACCCTAATAAATTTAATGAAAAAAATTTTCAGGTGTTTTATGCATATAGAGGCTCTTTATTATTACCCAGAGAGGGCCCACAGAAAGGAATTCGCTTTCAGTGGTGAAAGTGTCAAATCACCCTCCCAATTTCTCTTTTCCAGTGAAACAGAATACGAGTGAATCACTTTTGGGAGAGCACTGCCAAGCATGACGGAGAGCTCACTTGTTTCTTCGAGCATTAGTGGGAGGCTTCTTATCTCTACACTTAGTTTCTGGTAAACCTGAGGTCGGCAGTGACCTCTTCCCCATTTCATAGAAAAGAATACCCAGGAAGAGAGTGGTTAAGAAACATGTAATACGGCTCTCATCACATTTGCCACGAGAACTACGTAGAGTCATCCATTCAGCCATTGTTCGAGTAAATACATGACTGAGTCATTTTTATAGGTGACCCCATGGAAAAAGGCTAGTAAGACGAGAGTATTGTCCAAACTGGGGCAGGGTGACCCAGATAGGCCTTCTTCTCTAACTTTTATTTGCATTATGTTTTATTCATTTTGCATTTACATAACCGGCTAACCTAAAAGCATGGTTGTTGTTTGTGACACAGATGGGAATAAGGTGAATATTCAGTGGCTTCAGTAAAAAAGGAGGAAGGGCAGGCATGCTCTTGCAAAATATCAAGTGAGACATCGGCAGTGATGTGCAGGAGCCTGCTTGTACTTGTTCGCAAGGGTTGATTGTAAAATTTCCAGAATATTTTCAAGCTGGCTGTTAAATACATTCACCATTAAACTTAAATTATGTAACTTTGTTAAGTAAGTTATGTTAAAAATAAATGTGGTAGCTCTGGTTGGTGTGGCTCAGTTGATTGGAGAGTCAACACGTACACCGAAAGAACGGCTATGGGTTCGGTTCCTGGTCAGGGTGCATACCTAGGTTGCAGGTTTGATCCCTGGTTGGGGAAAGTATGGGAAGGCAACCAATTGATGTTTCTCTCTCTCTCTCTCTCTCTCCCCTTTCCCCTCTTTCTAAAATCAATAAGCACATCCTTGAGTGAGGATAAAAAAAAAGATAAAGGTGATAAGTACTCAAAACTCACTACTTCCTAATTATTTACTACCTTTTGCTATTATCTATACTCTTAACATTATTTGCTCCAATTTAGTTGTAGGATAGAAATATTATATAATGGTGCTACAGAGCATCTCTTTCCAATTTTGCATTCAGCGATGTAATGTTAGCTTGAAACTGGTCATGGTAGAAGTGTCTACACCAGTGATGGTGAACCTATGACACGCGTGTCAGAGGTGACATGCGAACTCATTTTTTTGGTTGATTTTTCTTTGTTAAATGGCATTTAAATAGATAAAATAAATATCAAAAATATAAGTCTTTGTTTTACTATGGTTGCAAATATCAAAAAATTTCTATATGTGACACGGCACCAGAGTTAAGTTAGGGTTTTTCAAAATGCTGACACGCCGAGCTCAAAAGGTTCGCCATCACTGGTCTACACCATGGAAACTGGCAGACACTATAAATCAGGCACACTTTTTTTTTGGAGTGCCTGTTAAACATTTATCAGCATACCACCAAGGAATCAGATAAAATGCAAATCCAGTATGGCAACTTGGCAATATGTGTCAAGAGCCGCTGAAATACTCATATGCTTTGATCCATTAATTCTATCTCTGGGAATTTACTCTAAATAAATAATTCAAAGAAGGAGAAAATAACACGTGTGAACACATTCAGTGTATTATCATTTATAACAGCAGAATATGAGGGTAACCTAGATAAGTGTTGAGATTCTGGGAGCATTAATTTCATGGAATACTTTGTAGTAATGAAAGGTCATAGTTACAGTAGTCAGGAAAATATATTTGATATGGTGTTGAATTAGAAAAGCAGGGTTAAATTTTCACTTACATTCTGGTTTCGTTATGAATGAGGATTAACTGTGAGGATAAAAAATGAAAGCATTTGGTGTGTTAGAATGGTAAAATAGTAGAATTTTGTTTTTACTTCGTCTACTTGATATGTGGAGGAAGTCTGTGTATAAGTGATCTGAAGTAGTTTTAATAATTAAGAGGAAAGCTATGAGTTTTGTGGACCACATGGGGGCCTGCCTTTGACAGCGAATATGTTCTGTGTGTGGATCCTGGGCAGGGTGTAGTGGAGGGAGTCTGGGTCCAGGCAGCCTGGGGGGATAGATGCTAAGGGTTTCTTGAAGGTAGCTCAGGAAGGAGGAGGAAGTGACTAGTTGGGTGCTGAGGATTTGCCATGGTGGACTGCAGAGGCTAAGAAATAGCTCACAGAAGAGCTACTGGCAAGGAGAGAGAGAGAGAGAGAGAGAGAGAGAGAGAGAGAGAGAGAGAGAGAGAGAGAGAGAAAGAGAGAGAGAGAGAGAGAGAGAGAGAGAGAGAGAGAGAGAGGGACAGAGAGAAAGAGAGAGACAGAGAGAACATTTTTTAGGAAAAGACAGGGAAATGCTGATCTTAGAGATGAGCAAGATGGATGTGAAAATAGTTTCACGTAGATCCGAAAACACTCGGGCTCAGACCAGAGAGGAAATGGTTGCTTTAAGTCAGTGGTTCTCAACTTTCCTAATGCTGCGACCCTTTAATACAGTTCCTCATGTTGTGGTGACCCCCAACCATAAAATTATTTTTGTTGCTACTTCATAACTGTAATTTTGCTACTGTTATGAATCGTAATGTAAATATCTGATATGCAGGATGTATTTTCATTGTTACAAATTGAACATAATTAAAGCATAGTGATTAATCACAAAAATAATATGTAATTATATATGTGTTTTCCGGTGGTCTTAGGCGACCCCTGTGAAAGGGTCGTTCGACCCCCAAAAGAGTCGCGATCCACAGGTTGAGAACTGCTGCTTTAAATCATGAGTTCTCAGATTGTAGTGTGTTTTAAACTCCTCTGGATGGAGGGGTCGGGGGTGGGGGTGAGCATGTTAACAAATGCAGCTTCCTAGGTTCCACCTCCATGGATTCTGATCCAATGGGCCTGGGAGTTGTCAGGAATTAACATTTTTAACAAGCCCTCCCACCCCATAAAGATTCTGACACAGATGGTCAGCAGGTCACACTTTGAGAAGCACTGAAGGTAGTAGTTTCATATCATTCATACCACAAAATTCCCTTACACAGTTAAACAGGCATTTGGACCAACCAAACAGGGTACTACAAGCGGGTGGAACAGAAAGATAGGGGAGAATCTAGGACCCACAAGCCTTCTAGTGCAAACCACTGGGAGGTGGTAATTAAGAATGAACTTGAGGGGAATATGCAGTGCTTTGTCCAGAAAACATTTTGGAAAGGAAAGGAAGTCTAATTGTTGAAGAAATATAGTTTACATAGAGATTAGACGTCTGCCATGACAACAATGCATCACAAAATAAACATAACGAAAGTACAGGACATGGCCGTGGCAGAAGCCATGGTGCTGAGACACGGGCTTCAGGAGAACTTTAGGTAGTAATGAGCTCTCAAGCAGCCTTTTATATTTGGAATTGTTCAACTATACACTGAAGATGATTCTTTTACTTTAAGAAAGTTTTCACATTTCCTATCATCAGGGTCACTAGTCTCATGGGCCGTGGTATGACGAATCAAGGAAAAATAAACCATTATTTAGCCCTGGAGGTGCAGCTCAGGGTCTGTTAGGTCGGCAAGGGTGTGACGCCTTCCAGAAGCACCTGCTGACTGTCTGTTCCCCACTTAACAGGGTTGTTCACGAACCGATTGATTTACACTTAATCTGGTCACAAATTCCTCTGAGAATCCGATGAGAACCAAAGACCTTCTCCTTGAGAAAAAGCACAAATACTGGAACATGCACATTTATAATTTTTAGGGGATTTAGGGACCCTCTAAAACCCATCTGTGGGCTCCCACCAGTCCAGAGACCTCATATTAGTAACTCCTGCATGGAGGCTGTCAGTACACCCGAGAGGCCGTGCAGAGAATGAAAAAGTTCTGGTTATTGCCGGTGTCGGAGTTAGCTGCTTAAGAGAAAGGCTGACTCTGCAGTTGATGGCCAAGATGAGAACAAGATGGCTTATGTTTTATAGTGTTGGTTCATTCCGTTGGGTAGACACGGGGACTGTGTTAAGTCCTTGATTCTGAATTCTCTTATGTTAAGCCAGGGTCAGGTCCTCTTTGGAAAAGCCGTCTCTCACGATTATACTTTAATGGCTCGTGTACTGTCCTGGGTACCTGGATGGCACAGGAAATGGACACAGGTTGGAAATACCAACCTGGCCACCTCCAGAGTGCATCGTGGCCTGGGGCCGGCTGACACCCCTCATCCAGTCCTGGAGACCCAGCCAGGCTGCTTTTAGAGGCGGAAGGCTTTCGACAGTGTGGAAAGCTCTTGCTTCCGAGTGTGCAATGTAGGTTTTCCTATCTGAAGCTGAACATCTGCTTGGGCCCCGATGCCTTTGAAGATAGTCCTTTTCCTGTGTGGCCTTTAGACCACAGAAGCCCAGCTAGCCATCTTCTGTTAGTGGGTACCTGACTTGCAAGGTGGGAAACTGGGTGTTTCCGGCTGAAAGCTCACGCCTTGTTAATCTCCTGTCCACTTGCACTGATAAGGGCTTCCTCGAGGTAGGATGTACCCCAAACCCGTCTGTTGAAATTAGCCAACTCTGTTGAAATCGATAAGAGCCTGTTAATGTGTCATAGTTCTAGAGTGGGGAGATAAAAAGGATGAAATTGTACCCCATCTTCAACCCTCCAGAGCAAAAGTATGTGCAGTTGGCTAAATAAATTGCAAAATATGATTCAGGCTTCTCTTGTTCTGGCATGACACAAGAATTATAAATCTTTCTTTGAGTCAGAAAAGGAAAATCTATAACAAATATACTCAAGTAATTAGAGCACCTCAACCTCTACAACCATTTTAATTATTGTACGCCATGACTAGGTCTCCTGCCAACTTCAAGTAAAAAAATTCATAAAATACATTCAATGTATTTTTCAATGCATTTTATTTATTTTGTAATCCTTACCCGAGGACATGCTTTTATTGATTTTAGAGAGAGAAAGAGAGGAAGGGAGAGGGAGAGGGGGAGGGAGAGAGAGAAACAGATGTGAGAGTGAAATATTGATCGGTTGCTTTCCATATGCGCCCCAACTGGGGATCGAAGCCAAAACCTGGGTATGTGCCCTGATGGGGAATCAAACCTGTAACCTTTTGGTGTATAGGACGATGCTCCAACCAACTAAGCCACACCTTCAAGGGTTTT